AAACAGAATTCCATAAGGTAGAGGAGCAGAGAGTTCGCAGAGACCCAGGATCGTCCTGCCCCCGTGCCCATATCTCACCTTTCCCTGTCTGTTAAAAAGGAAAACCTGCCTGCTGTCAGGGGAGGGAAGAGGACTAGGACCACCTCAGACCGAAGTCCCAGGAAGCCTCCGATTTAGCTGCTTCTCAGCAGCCCGCATGGCTCCCAGCACGGGCAGGGCTCCTCTCACTGCTTGGCAGACTTCTGAAACTGAGGCAGTCCCATGCTATCTGCCAATGAGACCCTCACTGGATCTGCCCACCCCAGGACACAGCGCCACCTTCTTCCTACCTCCTTCAAGTGGGGAGCAGACTGAACATGATGCACAAGTTAAACTTATGCCATAGGGGTCCCAAGCAGAAAAGGGCTGGTGGCTCTGATTGCAAATGATGGCAAGGGGAGGCCCTGATAAGATGACAGCACAGGGAAGGCTTGGAGGAGGGGAGGGAACCAGCGGTGAGCAGAGTTCAGCCTGAGCAAATCTCACTTCCTTCCAGCCTGGTCCAAATGCTCCTTCTTCCAGGAAGTCCGCCAGCTGCTCTGCCCTATCCTGGTTCTCACACTTTTCCATGTGAATGATTATTGATTCAAACCCAGGTCTCCTGCTTGATTTCCCAGGCTTGGAGGAGGCGCTGGAGGTACAGATGGCACCATGGTGCACTCCACAGGGCCTCTCTCCTGCAGTCATCTGGACCTGTCACGCGATGACTGAGGGCTTTAGCAGTGAGTCCAGGAAAAGCAGGGCACCACAGCTGCAGGGCTCCATTAGCTGAAGCAGTTGCAGCTGAGCGCAGGTCCACCCACCTCTCCTTGGGTACAGGCCTGTGGCTTAGCAAGCCCCTGTTACGCCAGGCTCCTTCTCTTGCTTTTTTCTGTTCCCCTCACCCTCTGACCCGCAAGGGCCAGGATGGGTCCCACCCACAGAGAGGGTCCTCGTCACCTGCTCATGGAGGGATGTGCACCACCCCAGCCGGACCACCTCTCCCTCCTGCAGAGCCTCTGTCCCAGCCCGCAGGCTCTCTCCAATCTTCACAGCTGGGACACTGTCTTGGGTGCAGGAAGATGGAAATCTCATTACAGGACGCAAAATTTTGTGGGTTCACGGTGGCAGCACTGGCACTGTGGCTGGAGGCAAGGAGGGGCTCAGGGTGACTGTATTCTTCAGATTCCACCGGCTGGTTCTGCACAGGGTGCCAGGGTCCTCCTTCCAGGCTCACACCCACTCTCCTGTCACACACTCATTTGGGACACTCGGAGAGCCTGAGAGTAGGAATGGAGAGCTTCACGCATGCGCACGCAGCTTCCGCATCATCCGGGAGGGTGACACAGAACGTGGCCCTGCAGCCTGGTCCTCCCTCTCGGGGGTGCCTGTGTACCAACCAACTGTACAGCACATGTCTGGGTATCTAGACTGTCACTAAGAGTGCTGCTGCCACCTGACCCCTACCTGGAAAGAGCCGGAGGACATCAGGCTGAACCAAAGGGCCTGAGCCTGACAGTAGGACAGTGAAAGGTCCGCTCAGGCTGGTGGCACAAAAGGTGAGCTGGCGGCCAAAGAGCCCAGTCCCATAGGTGGCCCTGCACTTGCCTGCAGTTGCTGATTGCGTAATTTTCAGGAGGCAGTGAAGCCCAATGGTTCAAAGATATTTTTGGGGGGAGTAGGTTGGCCTGGGTTTAAATCTGACTTCTGTTACTTCCGTTCTATTGACAACTTTTTTCTCCACAAGCCTTGGTTTTCTTATCTGTAGAATGGGTTTCCCTCCCTGGATTGTTGGGAGGATGAGTGAAATGGGTAGCAGAGGTCATTCCCCGAGGAGTGGAAATTACCATGGCCTGGCTGTCCAGCATTGTCCCCAAGGTGTTAGCGCTAAGTCTCTGCCTTGCCTTCCCTTTCTAGCTTCATTCTTGCATCCTGCACCAGCTGTCCAGGGGCTATGGAACCTTCCAGTAGCACCATTCCAGAAAACCTACAGTGGGGGATCCTTTTAATGAAACATGTTTTCTCGGGGGATAGCTGCCTTGTCCCATGAAAAGACATCTGGAGCCGTGAGAGCTTTTTTACCCCTGGCATCTCTAGGAATTTGTGAAATCCACGTTCCTGTCATTACAGGGCCAAAATCAGCACAAAGTTCCTTGGGGAGGAAACAGCAGCCTCCAGCGCAGGCCAGGCAGCATTTCACCACCAGAGGGCGCTGCCCAGCTGGTCTCTGCCGGCTTCTCAAAGAGAGAAGGCAGAATTCCTTGGTAGAGAGGCAGGTTTGGCTCCTAGGCCAGGGAATGTGCACCTTAAAGGACAGCGACCTCGCGGGCTAGGAACAGCAGCAACAAGGACCCTTCCCACCTGAGCCGTTTACAGTTTTCTGTTTGTTCCCACATCCTGACGACCAGGCGTAGAGAGGTTGTGAATGTGGGGACAGTAGGGGGAGAGGAGAGGCGGGGCTGCGTAAGACCACCCAGCTGGTAAGTGGCAAAGTGAAGGTCTCTTTTAGGCTTGCCTGCCACCAACTTTAGGGTGCTGCCTGTGTCCAGTGGGAGAGGCAGCAAGGTGAGGGAGGGAGCCCTGCCCCCCCCCCCCCATGGCTCATGGTTCCTAGCTGGTCCTTTTCCCCCACCCCCTGGGAAGTCACTGCCTTCTTCCTGGTATGGAGAGGATTAGGAAATCGCTTAGCATCAGCTTGGGAGGAGCCTTTGCTACTTAACCAAGATGCTGTTTCCCTCAGAGCAGCCTGGCCTCTTTAGAAACAGCATTCAGTCCTGCGAAGGCTTCCTAATGTGCCCCACATAGCCATGGGAACCCCAGTCTATGACTGCACCTGAGCCCCGTGCAGGTCCTGGGATACAGGTAGCCAGGACTGCTGCACTGACCCAGGATGCCTGGAGCCACCGTGTGGTGACGTTAGACACCCTTATGAGCCCTGTGTGCGCAGTCTCAGTTAAACTTCGCACCAGCCCTCAGAAGTACGCTGTCTCTGTGTTCCATCTTACAGAAAACACTGAGGTGCACAGAGCCTTAACAGGTCCAGAAAGAAGGACTTGACTGGCTTCTCCATTTCTGCCACTGATTGGCTGGGCGAACAAGGAGTGGGGCAGCTGGAACCTTGTCCTAAAGGACTGAGTCTCCAGACAGAAGTATGCAAAGGATATGATTGTCTTTTTCAAAGTTTTTTCTGGGTTCTGACTCATGGGGACAGGGAAGAAAGCAAGGAGAGAGCCAGTGTCTCCAGAGCTCACCCAGGGAGCCTGCAGGTGGACATCGCGGCAAGCTGCAGCTCTAGTGGTGAGCAAAGGCTTATGGAAGGTGGTCATGGAGAAGCCTCCAGTCAACAGAGGGAGGTCCAGCCTGGCAGCAAGGCCAGGACTCTGGGGTCCAGGGCTGGGGAAGCAGCAGGAGATTTGAGGGCTCCTCCCTAGGACCCTGATCTTCAGGACAGAGATGGGGTGCAGGTGGACGTGGACATAAAGGGGGGAGAGGTTCTCCAAGGAGCACATGGTGGCACCTTCTGCATTTATGTCAAGAGAGTACACGAATTGAAGTGTGTGTGTGTGTGTGTGTGTGTGTGTGTGTGTATTTGAAGCCTCAAGTTCAAGTCCTGTTATGGTCATGATCTCTTTTTTCTTTCCCAATTACCGTGACAATTGGTGGGGCAGGATTATCATCCTCAAAGACAGAAAACAGCCCCAGCAGGATGAACTGCCTCGCTTAGTCACTGGGCTTGATAGGTCAAAAGACAAGGTCAATCCAGGCCCCCAGCTCCAACTCCACATCCCCACCTTGGGACTGTCTGGCAGACCCTTGGCATACCTCTCAGGACCCTCATGCTGCAGGTCACCCTGTGTCCGTCTCTTCCTGACCCCTGGGTGCCCGTCTCAGCGTGAGTCCTTGCATTTTTCACCAGAGTTTAAGACCAGGGTCCCAGGGTTCTTCCTTTTGGGTTTTTAGTGTGCCTGCCTCTAGCAGGAAGTGCCCAGGAGAAAAGACCAGCCAGGGAGAGGCCTTGTGCTGGCCTCTGGGTTCTTTCCAGCATCTCCCAGGAGGTGGCAGAGGACTGGGGTTCTAGGAATCAGTCTGCGCCCCTTGCCAGCTACAGAGCCCTGGCAAAGGGCTGAGTCCTTCACACAGAGGTGCTCAGTTAATCTTCCTGACACTTCAGGAGGAAGGTAGGACAGTGATGACCCTTGTTCTCTGAGTGGGAGAGCCTGGCTCAGAGAGATTGAGTGACTTCCCCAAGGTCACTCAGCAAGTGGCAGAGCTGGGTTTGAACCTGGGAAATCTGCCTTGAGGAGCGACTCTGCCTCAGTTATTAATGACAATCAGCAAAATAACCACTGAACTGGCACCTTTCCTGTCTCTGGTGCTTTTAGACCTCAGCAAGGCTGACAGGCCCATTAGTTCTCCAAATTTCTCATCTCACAGGTGAGTAAATCGGGCCTGGCAGGATGCCCGGGGTGAGATGACTTCAGATTCTCACAGATGCTATCTGTGCAGCATCTGAAGCCTCTACCTTCCCCTGTCTCTGACTCTAGTGTCACCTTGGGAAAATACATTGCTTTTGAGCCTCAGTTTCCCCCTCCTCCGGCAAGCAGAAGGGAGGGGGCTGTTGTCTCGCTGAGGATGTGAGGGTTGCTAGCAACTCTGGGGCCATTCCTGTCCCCCTGGCCTCCCTGCCGATCTCTTTCTACCTTGGCGAGTCTGGGCAGGAGGCAGCCAAGGTGCTGGGTGGGGAAGGTCAGCGCCGCTTCTTGTCGCGAGTGGGAAGGAACCCCACTGTGCTTTGGGGACCGGCAGAGGACCCAGCAGCCACGTGCTCCGGGCGTTGTGCAGGGAGCCGACTGTCCTCCGGGGAAAGCGAGGCGCCCCCGACTTGAGTAGGGGGCGGGGAGGGAGCGCGGGAGCAGGCAGGGGGTGGGGGCAGGGGGAGGCAGGGAGCACGCGGACAAAGGAGGCGGCCGCCGGCCCAGCTGTTTTGAAAAATGCTTCCTGTTTCTTTAAAGGCGCTCGCAGCGGCTCGGGCGGCCGGGCTGGGGAGGCGGTGGAGGCGGGAGCTGCCTCCTCTCCGGGCGGCGGCGCTTACTGATCTCGCCAACCCGGCTTCTGTGTAAACTGAGGCTAAACAAACACAGATGGAGCGCAGCGGGCGTGCTGCAGAAATGCTGGCGAGGCGGCCGCGACTTCAGATGACACTCTGAGCGCTCGGGGACGCACAGCCCGTGGCTTCGCGCGGAGCCCGGGGCGCAGCTGCCCGGGGCGAGGGGTGCAGTGGGGAGGGAAAGGGCGAGCCGGGGACGCCATGAAGCCCCTTCCGGCGCTCGAGGACCGGTCGTGGAAGCCCGTGTGCGTGCAGGAGTTGCACGGGCTCAAGAAGCTCAAGCGGAAAGCCAAGGAGCCGGCGCGGCGCGCGAATGGCTATAAAACTTTCCGATTGGACTTGGAAGCTCCCGAGCCCAGCGCCACCGCCGCCGCCACCAACGGGCTGCGGGACAGAACCCAGCGGCTGCAGCCGGCCCCGGCCCCAGTGCCAGCCCCCGTGGCGCCGGCAGCTCCCGCAGCCGCGGGCGCGGACCTGGCTGGGGAGCGCAGGGGTGCCCGGGCGCCCGAAGTGCCGGACGCCCAGCGACGCGGCTTCGCCCTGGGCGCAGTGGGACCTGGACTCCCCACACCACCGCCGCCCCCTCCAGCGCCCCCGTGCCTGGCTCCCGGACGTCCGGAGACGCAGCCTTTTCGGGAGCCGGGCGTGCGTCCTCGCATCTTGCTGTGCGCACCGCCCGCGCGTCCCACGCTGTCCGCGCCTCCAGCATCCGATGCACCGACCGAGTCCTCCGTGCGCCCCTCGCCCCCCACGCGCCCGGGGGAAAGTTCCTACTCGTCAATTTCACACGTAATTTACAATAACCACCCGGATTCTTCGGCGTCGCCTAGGAGACGGCCGGGCGAAGCTACAGCCGCCTCATCGGAGATCAAAGCCCTGCAGCAGACCCGGAGGCTCCTGGCGAATGCTCGGGAGCGGACGCGCGTGCACACCATCAGCGCGGCTTTTGAGGCACTCAGGAAGCAGGTATCGCTGGCGTCTCCGCACGGTGGCGAAATGGGTGGTTAGGTGCAGGGCCAGGGACCGTAGGTTGGGTAAGGGGACGTTTAAGGGACAAGCTGTCTAGCTTGGGTTCAGACTATTATGGGCAGTCAGCGCTGGAGCGCATTTGGGTTTGCTAAGTGTGGTCAGGGTCGGAGATCTCCGGCCCACCCCAGATCCCAGCACTCTGTCACCAGGCTGTCACCAGGAAACCCAGTGTGCGCGCCTGACTTCAGCCCTCCTCATTCACTTTTATGGCAGTATTTGTCTCCCGGAATGCCTCGGCGCGGTGGGGAACAGGAGGAGAGGGGGAATGTGGGGACTCTGCCTCGGGCAGGGGGGAGGGGCCGACGACCCTTCTCCTCCGGGCTTTTGGAATGGTTGGGGTCTTGGCCCTCTGTTGGTTGTGGGGAGGAGAGCACTGTGGAGGTGCGGACCTGTGGTTGCTGGAGGTTAAGGGACAGCCCTGAGCCACTCAGCTTGTCTCTGAGCTCTGGTGGCCTTGAGGAGCCGCCAAGCCCGCACCCCCTCCCCGAGGGCAGCTTCTGGAGTTGGCTGGTGGGAACTCCTGGTGCTGCTGCCGGTGGGGGTTTCTTTCTAGGATCCTCAGCTAGGTTGGGTGAGGTGGGAGCTTCTCAGTTTGGGGCTGGTGGGACTTCACTGCAGAACTCACAGTTTGCAATTTCACTTTAGACAAACTTGACACTGCCTTGGAGGTCTAAGCTCTTTATTTGCCGTGAAAGAGAGGAAGTTAATAAAGTGAACCCTTCCGTCCAAATCATGGAGAGGGCTGCAATGGGTGCGATGGTTCCTTGGGTGAAGGTTTTTGCTTGCTGTGCAGCTGATTTGCTGTTTAACTCCTGGAAAGTTACTCAGCCACTCTGGGCTTTAGCCAACCACAACACGTTTCAGAAAACAGGATCTTCTTTTTAGAACGCACTCTCTTCTGTTGGAGAGTAGGGACAAGCAGTGGTGTTTGTGTGCATCTTGGTGAAGGACTTTGAATCCCTGGGGAAAAAGAGCCCAATATCTTCTGAGTCAAAGCCTTGTTTGAGTTCAGGAGGAGAGCTGTTTGGTCTGTGAGATGGGGTGGGAGTCAGGTGGCTGTCATAGACCAGGCTGGGCCATTGCCTACAGCCACACCAGCTGGGACCCCGGGCATTGGAGCCATGGGTCCCACCCTGGGCTGGCAGCTCTGTGTCTGAATGCCTGGTGGGGGCGGCAGCTTGTGAGGCGCCCTATAGTCTGGTGCACAGGGCAGAAAGATGACAGAAGGGCGGGGTGGTGGCTGGCCACCTGCTCACCTGGCCTCTGGGAAAGCCCCTCGGTTAGGCGGCTGGTGAGAAGCGGCAGGGCTGGCAGCTGAGTCCTTGGCTGGCCATGGCAGTGCCCTCCCTGCTCTCCAGCTAGCTGCTTCTTTGAGTGCTTTGAAAGAGAATGCTGATGCTTTCTGTGTGTCTGCTGCATATCATCTTTCCCAAGGTTTTTGCTTCTCTCACCAGTAAATTCTTCTGGATCGGAACAACATGCTGTTAGCATTGGATGAACCTATGTTGTGGAATGCAAAACTGAGGCCTGGAGGAGGGGATTTATCTGAGATGATCCAGTGGCTGGGGAGGATGACCGTGTTTTCTAGAATGCATGGTCTGACCAGCGTCTCCTGTAACAGCAGCTGGGTCAGTGTCCTGGGCGCTGGCCCACCGTGGCCTGCAGCGTTCTCGGTAACCCGGGCTGGGCCGCTGCCCTCTGCGGACTCAGATGAAAGCGTTAGTCCTGGTTTCCTATTGCCTTCCCTTCATGGAAAGTTGTCTGTAAAAGGGTCAAGCTCGGTGTGTGAGCAGGAGCAAGCCTCTCGTGGCTTGCTCCCCACTTGGGGCTGCACACACCTATGTGCACATGTAGGTCTTGTGGCCTTGTGTCACTGCGTGTGGCCTCACAGGCTCTGTTCTGCACACTGCCATCCTTCAGGTTCCAGTGTGGTGGTGCCGCAGAGGGCTGCAGGCTTAGTGCTGTTGCCTACACAGAGCCTCAGTTGAATCAGGGTTAGTGAGCTGCTCCAGTGCCTGGGCTCTGAGCAGCTGTGCTCTTTAACCCATCTGGAAAGTGGGCGCTATCCTCTTGCAATACGTGGGGACCCACCAGGCCCCTGTTTTGTCAAATTCACTATGCGTGGATCAAGAGGAACCGGCTGTGTGGCTGCAGGTGGGGGAGAGGCGACTGGACTGGGGGCGGAGTGTGCGGGGCAGATGGTCAGGCCGTAGCACATGCCGCTGGTCCAGCTGCACTAGAGCTCTCCCCGCTGCTCATGTGAAGGCCATGTGTGCACAGCTGGGCTGGCCATGCAGAGCTTACCCCCTCCAGGTGGGAGGGGTCCAGGGAAAGGCTCGTCTGGCTGGGAGGGGGAAGGGAGGGCCTGATCCAGGGACTGGGTGGGGGCCTCAGTCTCTTGGCAGTACCTTAGGGCTCCTCAGCTGTGCCCAGCCTTGGTTACCTGGCCTACCATGGATTTCCCGTGTCCCCAGAGCCCCTCAGTGACAATGGAGGAGGTAATAGATAAGGCATTGAAGGACCTCAGGGATTGCCTGTGGGGACCTATAAGTGGACCCAAGTAATTTCCTCTGATGTCTCTGGACTCTCCCAGAGGGTCCATGCCCAGAGAACTTGGTGCTTCCAGAAGGGACAGGGTTGGTGGCCCCAGCTCAGGACCTCCCTCACTTCCAAATTCCCTGGGGTAAAAGAGGGACACAGGAGACCCTCAGCAGTCTGTGCCCATCCCCTCAGGCCAGGAGGGACAGGTCTGCTTGCTCTGGAGACTCCACACAGGTAGGAGAGGGTGACGGAGGGCTGTCCCCTGCCCCATGTCACAGTCACCAGGGTTGCTGCCTGGTGAGCCTCATTGCAGGGTCTCTTTCGGGGACCTGTTTTGTGTGTCTGTATGGCTGTCTTTCCATTTGACAGTGGATGACACTCAGAGAGAGGGTCTGCAAATTGCTCAAGGTTACAGAGTGACCAGGCTCTGTCCCCAGGCCTGTCTGGCCCTGGGGCCATGGCTCTTAACTATGGAGACCCAGGCTAATAGCTGAGTCTTGTGGCTTTGTAGGAGGTTAGCGTTTTCAATAGACCTTGACAAGGATCCTGAACGGGCTGCAGTAGAGCGGTTTTGCCCCAGAAATGCCGCACTCAGACGATTAGAGGACAGTTTCATATAGAACCCAGTGCTTTTGGAGCCCTATTGGCCTGGGAATCATGGTGTCAGGGTGGGTGGTCCCCTTGAATAGCAGGTCAGGGTTGGCACAGAAGCAAAAAGTCTTTGAGGCTTCTCATATTCTCTGGTAGGTTCTTGGCTTTACTTTGGATAATGCTTTCCCATTGCCGATCATGATGCCATTTGGAGGCAGGAGGTATTCTGCTGCCCATTTTATTGGTGAGGAAACTGAGACCTCTACAGTTAGGGTCCTGCCTGAATCCGAAGGATGGCCAGGGGTAGGGCCAGACCCTCATGCTGACAGGCCAGCACTTTTCCTGTGTTTTCCTGTTTGCTGGAGCCAGGAGAGGGTCCAGCTTAGTGGGTAGAGTGGGATGGAATCTTTGGTTCACATGGGACCTTCTGCAAATGTTCAGACCTGCTCTTCTGCAGTTTAAACTTCCTGTGGGATGAGCAGGAACGTATCCTGCCTCCTCCTTGGGCCAGTGTCCTCTGACTGGGGTAAGAGATGACAGCCATGGGGTCCTCTGCAGGCTGAGGATTGGGAGGGAAGGGGGTGCTGCAGCCTCCCTGGGGATATCCAAAGAAACCAGGCACACAGCTGGGTCCCCTGGCTGAATGAACCCTCCATCCCTAGCTCTGATGGTGGGCTGCCTGCCACCCTGCTCTAGGTTACAGTTGCTGTGCCGAGTCCCCCGGAATTCTCTGCTGGCTGAATGGAAGGAGCCCTGATAAGCCACCAGGTCAGAACCAGCTGAGACCAGGCAGTTCCCACCCCCTTGGAGGTCAAGAGCTGCCGCGCTGAGTAGAAGTGATCATTTGCACCTCAGCTGGGCCGCTTATGGGGTGAACATCAACAGTGTGTTGAGACAGCACCCCCTGCCTGGGCCTGTCCCACAAGGGGACCTGGGTGCACAGTTGGGAGGTACCCTTGCTGCGTGGACCCTGGCCATTCCGTGCAGTCCCTGCAGCTCAATGAGATACACTGACATTGCTTGCCCCGCTCCTTCGGTGGAGGAAACCGAGGCTCAGAATGTATTTGTCCTGAGCCCCAGCCCTGGAAAGTGCCTGGATTCAGAGCAGCCCTTTCTGCCTCCCTTCGCCTTCTAGAAGCATTGACTTGCTAGTCAGTGACCCTCATGTTGCAGGGCAGCCCTGGCTGGGGCAGCCTCTGGGCAGGGCTGTCTGAAGCCCAGTTGCATTCCGGGGCATTGCAGGGCACAGGCACCAGGTGGACCTGGAGTGGCCCAGCTGAGCAGACGAGCAAGCCCCTGGGGACAGAGAAGGAGAGGTGAGCTACCCAGATGGTGGCCTCACTGTCCCCGTATGTGGGAGTGGGAGCCAGAGAGCCCTGTGGCATGTACCTTCCTTGTGTGTCAGTCAGAGGAGCTTCTGGCTCCAACCAGGTCTCGGTGGAGCGATCCAGAGCCCAATATGTCACCTGTTTCCTCCTGTGCAGATGGGACATTCATCTTTATCTGGGGGAGACTTGAAATGGGATAATACCACCTGTGAGCAGCTATCACGGTGCCAGAGAGACAGGAGCTCAATCAACACTTTTTTTCTGGTTAGACCTGGAGCTTGGCAGAAGCATCAGGACAGAATGACAAATCTGGGACAGAGCTGGCCTGGAATTTGGCATGAGGTTCCTGGGTCAGCCTTTGCCTCACTTGCTTGGCATTTGGGCAGTGACCGCGGGTCACACATATCGGGCTCCCAAGGTGCCTGCTCTTGCCCGGAGCCCAGCTGTTCCGGGCCCAGGCACACAGGGCTGGCTGTTTAAGGGAGACCCCCAAAGTGACCCCTGGGTACGATGGCGCTGTGTGGTACTAGGTCCCTACCCTCACCCCTAAAGGCAGGCATTACCTTCCCTGGGTGAGGCACAGGCAGAGGTGCTGGCTGGCACTGGAGACTCCTTTCCTGCCCCAGGACTGCCAGGTCTTGTTTATTTGTTCAGGCTGATAAAGCAAGAGTTTGCTGGACTCTGGCTAGGAACAGGCAAAGCGCACTCTTCTGCCAGCTTTTCTAGGATGGATTTGTGGCTGCAGCCAGGACGAGGAGGGGGATGCAGGGGCCTTGGCTCTCTCTTGCCACCTCCTGCCCTACCCTGTGTTTCCTAGTCTGAGAGCCCCCACCTGGTGAGGGGTAGCTGGCGGCACGTGTCCTGGCTGCAGACCTTCTCACCCCTCCCTGGAGCCCCGCTTTGGGGACCTGCTCCTACACCACTGTCCCAATTTTGCTGACTTCTACAGCTATGTTCTTCTGTGCCATAGGACAAAGAAACTGAGGCTCAGCAAGGTTTGGTCCCTTGCCCAAGGTCTTCCAGCTCAGGCGAGCTAGTGCCAGAGCTTGGATCTGGATGACAGAAAGGTGTGTGTGCTTTGGGTCTGCATCCTCAGAGAACCAGAGATTGTGGAACCTGGTTCAGATCATCCCAGAGTCACCTGGTGACTGTCGAGGGAGGTGACCCATGTATTCACTCCTTTCCTTGTCCAGCCTGTGCCAGCTTTCCCCCAGCTCACAGGGATGCTGACCACCAAGGGAGCCCCAGGAATGGGGTGTTAAGGACAGAGGGTGCCTTTAGAGTACCGTGAAGGGCAGACTGGCCTCTTGGTGTAGGCCTGGTAGGGGCAGGTCAGCAAAAGCAGCACCAAGTGAGATGGACAGTGGGATCAAAGTGGGTGATACAATTGGGGTTCCCAGTCCGAGGTGACAATCTTGCTCATGCGTAATCCCCAGGACCTGGAATAGAAGGGTTCACCATCATTGGGATTCTGGGCCAGTAATTCTTTGAAGACCTAAACTTTGATTCCTATGGAGGCATTGTAGGAACTCACACGTTGTAGGGTGTTCAGAAGCCGCCTCTCTGATCACCCTGCTCCCCTCTGGTGACCATCAAGAGTGTGTCCAGACACTGAGCAGTGTCCCTTAGAGAGATCTTCCCTGGGGCTGGAATACGTGGTGCTCCCAAAACACCCATGTGTTCCTTACTCGGGGATGAGGTTGAGTCAGAGATGTGGGTGCTGCATATGGATCCCAGGAGCCTCAGAAAGGGGGAGACTGACAAGTGTGTCAAGGCTGGCCCGGTCTGTTGGTATTTATGATGCACCTGCCGCATCCCATACACTGGGTCCAGAGTACATACAGGAAAAGGAGTAATCACATCCTTTTTGTCTTTTTGGCTGGAGAAAGACCTGACCCTCTGGCTGTCCCCATGCACCTGTCTCTGATATAATATTATGATTTCATGCTCAAGTTTAAGTTCTTTGAAAGCAGGAATCAAGTTTTTGAGATCCCCAAGTGTGTTGAGAGCCCTGGAAGCTGGAGATTGATCACATGTGTGGGGCTAAAGCAAGGCCAGCCCAGAAAAAACAGAAAGAACAAAACAAGCTGGGTAAACAAGTTGTTCCACCACCAAGAAGGCCAGGGGCCAGGCCTGCCAGGCAAACAAGTTGCCAGGTATCAGGGCTGAAATTGACATTCTTCTTTGGAGGGTGTAAATGGAAGTGTTAGAGGGTTGAGCAGTTCCTTTCCTCCCCTCAGGAGGATAAGGGCTCACCCGACCCCAGCTTTGTCTTTTCTTTATTTTTCTCATCCTCAACCCCAAGAACCTCAGAAGCCACACTGGGTTGTGACAGAAGCGCTCGGCAAAGTAAATGTCACTGAATGAACGAATGAATGGAACATGAGAGCTAAAGCATAAACCGTTCCCTCCGAGAGGCGCCTTCTCAGGGAGGGAGGTGGACAGAGCTATCAGGGTGGAGGCTGACGGAGCTTCCTTTCAGGCTGACTGTCAGGATGAGCTGTGTCTTTCCCTGCTCTGTGAGGATGCGGGTACATCCCTGAGTGTGTGGGTGAGCTGAGACGTGTGTGCGTGTGTGTGAACACGGGTGCTTAGTACAGATCATAAAACCAGGGCAAGCACCCAGATAAACCTCAGGCAGGTACGCCCAGGTGGGTGTTGTGTGTGTGTGTGGGGGACACATGTGCTCAGCACGGAGGCCCCTGCAGCCCCTCTGACACTCTCCCCACCTCCCCAGGTGCCGTGCTACTCGTACGGGCAGAAGCTGTCCAAACTGGCCATCCTGAGGATCGCCTGTAACTACATCTTGTCCCTGGCGCGGCTGGCCGACCTCGACTACAGCGCCGACCACAGCAACCTCAGCTTCTCCGAGTGTGTGCAGCGCTGCACCCGCACCCTGCAGGCCGAGGGACGTGCCAAGAAGCGCAAGGTACGCACCAGCGTGCAGGCGGCAGCCGCTGGGAGTGCGGAAGGTAGGAATAGGAGTTTAGGGACACCACATATGCCCAGGACTTCCACAGAGCCAGAGAGATCAGTCTTGGAATTTGCTGGGGGTTCCCAGCTTCAGGGCTTCTCAGAGCCTTGGGGTCCTGGGTGGGATGCTACCCCAGTCATGGAGTTTCTGAGTCACTTTGGACAGGTGCCTGGCATCTCTGGGGCTCCTTGTCATTTAGGAGGGGAGGACTTTTTATCCCTGAAGCCCTTTCTGGCCCTATGAGTTCTGGTGCTGAGTTCCCTAAGTGGCCCCTGACAGCTGTTGTGTCATGGTGAGGGTCCCCTGAACAGGGCAACAGCCCGGGATGAGCCTTAGCAGGGTCTGGGGATGTGATTAGGCCCAGGGATTGTTTGACACTGCCTTAATTAGCATGATAGTTACTGATTCATTCGTGCATCCTAGAGATCCGCTGAACCCTGGCTGTCAGCTGGGCAATCTGGGCGGGGGTATAAAGATGACAGCTGTGTGGTCCTGGTTCCCATGCGGCTCACAAGATGGTCAGAAAGCCCCTCCACAAATGCATAAGGGGTGTGGTGTGGCTTGTTTTGGGGGTGGGAGAAGGCCAGGTAGAGGAGGTGGAGACTAAACTCTCCTGCCCCAGCAAGTTCCAGAAAGATGTCTCAGTGGAAAGTGGTGTTTGAACTGGGACAGGAAGAATAACTAGGAGGCCACCAGGCAGACAAAGCAGGGAACAGCATCTGAGGCAGAGGGAACAGCTTGTACAGAGCCTGATGTGTTTGGAGGAAATTGTTGCAGGAGGATGGAGGCTGCATACAACCATCATTTGTTAGATGACAACGCTCTGGGCATTTCCCATCAAGGGTCAGTGCCGAGCACAGATTATGGCAACTGTCTGGGTCTCTGGTTGCTGGTCACTGGAGAAGGCAGAGAATGGGACTTGGCCTGTGTGTGCATGGAGATGCCCCACAGTCCTGGGAACCCAACTTGCAGGGACTCTGCCATCTTCCATCTGGTCCTTCCTGGCCCGCCCATCCCCCATGCCCTTCTGTGGCTCCCCAGGCTTCTGGGCCCCCATCAGGCTTGGCCCTGCATGGGCTCGAAGGCCCTTCCCAGCGCAGGCCACCGCCTCTGTGGTAATTGCATGCTGCATTCCTGGGGGTGATTTCACGTGGACCAATTAGAAGAAATCCTCATCAAGTGGGCCAGAGAGGAAGCTGGGGCAGCTTTCCTCGGGAAAGTGACAGCTCCGTAAATGAAGGGCAAGATTGATGGCTCCCTGCTGTGCTCCGTGAGAGAACTCCTTGGCATCTAGCCCGCGGAGGCGGCCGGGCAGTATGGGCAGGCGCACTGGGTCCCCTGCCTGCCACCCCTCTCCACCCACCAAGGTTGCGGGTGCCGCCCCTCCCGCCACTGGTGCTTGATTGGAGTTGACAGCATCCTAGACAGAGGGGAGGGGGATGCCAGGCCGCCAGCCTAGAGGTGAGGGAGGAATCCAGGATGCAAACAAGAGCGTCCTCTGAAGTCACCTGGCTTCTGAGAAACCTCAGTGGTGCTGCGCCGTGCAGATCGGGAGGCGTGGTGAGAGCAGCTGGGCAGGTGTCGGGCAGGAAGGGGGCCCAGGTGCCCTTGCCTCTGGCTGCTCTCTCCCTTGAGTAGTGATCCCCTGATGTCTGCACCCTGAACTTGAACTGCCTTCCAGGGGCTTTGGGGTGGCCCTGGGAATCCAGGCAGAAACGGGTCCCTGCCCCTCCCCCTCGCCTCCCCACCCCTGCTTCTGCCCACCCCAGCCTGCTTTGGGGACTGGAGATGGACCAGGTCTGAGGGTCTGTCTTTCCTGTCTCGGGTCTGTCTTCCAGCCACAGGCTGTGAGGTCACTGAGCAGGGATTGTGGAAAGCGGGGTCCCTCTCTCTTTGCCCTAAGGACCCCCCCTCTTCTCATAGACTTAAATCATAGCCTCAGTGACACATTTCCTCTGTGAAAGAGCTCAGGATACCCCGACAATCCTGGGTCTCCCCTCAGGGACCAGCGTTTGCTATTCAAAGCCTCCATCCTTGGTCGGGGTTCAGGAATTTTGCGTGGACAACCGTTCCTTCCCATCTTGACCTCCTGCGTCTCCTGGAGCCTTTGGCCCTTATCACCCATCTTCTGGGCTCCTGAATGCTTATTGCTGTTTGTCATTCTCCCTCCCTCCTTGTCTGTTGCGGTCTGGCTTGGCTGTCCCGTCCGTCCTCATCCCTTTGTTGGGACCTGTAGCACCAATGTGAAGCCTGCCAGACAGCAGGGGCCTCAGATGTTCTGCCTGGAGTCAGCCGGGCTGGGCGGGCTTGGGGGAGCGGCCCTTTCCTTCCAGGGCTTGTGGATGCCTGGGCCAGGAGCACATTTCCAGAGCCCTCGGGCTGTCAAGTTCGCACTTGAACCTCACTGGCTCTTCGGCCTCTCTTTGGGACCTCGCAGCCCAGCTCTGTTTACCGAGATTCTGTTGGAGGAGCCGTGTGTATTTCCCTGGGACAGTAGGTGGCACCTGGGTGGTGACACGGAGAAGCGAGATGGCTCATCCTCTGCCTGCAGGACCAGCTCTGCTGCACCACAGCCTAGCCCAGGTGGTCCGGGCTGGAGGCCGGGGGCCCGAGGGTCTCCTCAGCCACAGTCCTTCCCTCCCTCCTTTCCTCCTGGCTTTCTCCTTCTCTCCTTCCCATCTCTCCCCTCTGTGCCAGCTATAAAGTACCCTACTCGTGCCAGACGCAGTGCAGGTACAACAGTGCAGGTACAACGTGGTCCATCTCGTAGCCTGGCAGCCACACACTCTGGGCTGGACCAGAGCCTTCGGAACTAGGAGCACCAGGCGGGAAAAGCAGGGGGGAACTTGGGGTGGCAGCTTCTCCGCCAGGGAGCTGGGGATGGGGTGGAGGATGTGGGGTGAGAGTGGCCCTGTGCTCAGCTGGGGTGTGGGGGGCTGGGAGAGGCTGAGCCCCTGAACCTTCCCGCAGAGTCTGCCCTGCCCTTGCTGGCTCCAGAGGAGCGCAGACTGTGTGCTGTTGCCCTTCCCCTTCCGTTGGTGTCCCCTTCCTGAAGGCCTTGAGACAGGGTGCTTGTGCTCAGCTTGGCCCTGAGTGACAGTGGACAGCAAATGTGCCAGCCCAGGTCTCTTCTTTTTCTTTTACAAAGTTCCTCTTGCCAGCACGGAGAGCCGCCTGATGGCTTCACTAATCCCGCTTCGGAAAGCCTCACCTGCAAACACCAATCATGTGTTCACTGAGGGATTAAGGTTCCAGCCCAACTGGGGGCACCTTCAAACAGTGGCGCCCTCCACAGCTCAGCCTCTTCTCACTGGGGTCCCAAAGCTCTGGTGACAGGGACAGGCCACCAGGCAGGATTGCAAAGGCTGGGGCAGAGGTCGGGGCTGTCAGGCTGTGGACAGATGGCTGCTGTGCTGCCGATGGCCGTCCCCAGGGTGACGGACGGCAGACAGAGTGCCCTACTCAGGACTGCTGCCTGGGAGGGGCTGGGCCTCCCTCCTGCAGGACTCCTGGTGGAGCACGGAGCCACCGTGTCTCTCCAGGTCTGCATGAAGAACAGGACTGAGCAGGACTTGGTTTCTTCCCAGCTGTACCCTTTTGCCCCCTCAGCCTTCCCAGCTAGGTGGGAGACCCGCAGCGTCGGCCGGGGTGGGGGGTCCACCCTGCTGGGCTCACAGGACAGTGAGTCTGGAAGTCCCAGGCTGCCCAGCAGAGGCCGGCAGTACAAGGCTCTGGAGACCGAGCAGTGAAGCACTGGTGCTGGGCCACGTTTCTGCTGCTTCTGATTTTAGAGCTCCTGGGAGCTCTGAGGATGTCCCCTGAGGACGAGGGAGGTGGGCATGGGAGAGGAGGAGGAGAGGGAGGAGGTAGGGGAGAGAGGAGGATGAGGGAGGAGGAGCAGCTCTGCACCTCCGTACTTGGGCCCATGGCATAGGAGCAGACTAGTGTCCCACAGTCTAGGGGACCCTCTGAGTAACAATAGCTATGAGTGAAGTTGGTGCTGTCCTGAGAGCCTTGCACTTGCAAGGCCACAGGGTCCCTGCTCTCACTCAGGTCCCAGGGTTGAGGATGGGGTCCATAGCGATGCACTGAGGTGTGGGCTGGTGGACAGAGACCCTGGCAGGGTGGTGTTGAACAGGTATAACTCGGTGACTTCTGTGTCTTCCCTCTGTTCCCTGCTGCTTTCTGGAGACAGGATGCTTTTGGTGGCAAAGGCGGCCCGAGATGGCCTGAGTCCTCTGCAAGAATGTCTTGGGCACAGGCTTCTGCAGCTTCAGGGCAGGAACAGGCTGGGGTGGCAAATTGGTTTGGGGTGGGTGGTTTGGGGTTGGTGTGGGCCAAGGGTGTCAGAGGGGCCCCTTGCTGTGTGGATAGCTGAGCCTGGACCAGACTGCCCCTTCTCTTGTCCCCAGAGCTCCAGGTGAGGCAGAGCCCTGTCCTGCTGTGTGGCCCTTGGGGCATTCACCACAGGCCACCAAAGGTCTGCACTCTGTCAGCCTTAGTGACTGGCTCCCGTGCTGTGTCCCTTCTGTTCACCGAGGTCATGTCACACTGATGTGAAGGCCATTTGAGGACCACTGAGAATTCATTTACCTGCTATTCCAAGAGCCTAGATCACATGCCAGGTGCTAGCTGGGTGTCTCTCGTAATGTGTCGCCAGCCTCCCAAGCACAGGTGATGAACTGAGGCCGAGAGCTGAGGAGTTTTCTCCCGGTCACTTAGCCAGTGAGGTGCCCGGCTCCTGCCCCTCCGCTGCCCTGCCTCCCTCATCGAGCAGGGTGGGTGGGAGATGGTTCTCATGTCAGTCCTGCGGGCCACATGATTGCATGAAATACCGTTTGCTCTCGAAGTCCTCAGAGTCGGCAGTGCTGGGAAAACTAGGGGTGGGTGGGAAACCACCATCAAATTCCCTTCCAGTCATAAAAATGGATGCAATTTATTTTTTCTGGCATTCCAATTACACAGACGTTTGTCGCCAGCTGTTTGTTCTGACTCGGA